TACACTCAATGAGGCCCACATTTCTCAACAAGGATCTAGAGCACATATCTCACTGTAAAAATCATTGCTGTAACAATTTAATTTATTAAAAATATTGGATTTTGGAATACTTATTTTTGGACATGGCCAGCAGCCTGTCACCAGATTTCTTTGATCATATTGAGCTTGTGGTCAACATAAACCTCTAGGTCCATTTCACAGGAACTCCTGTTTAATCACATCTTACCCATCACAGAACTTACACTTTTATAATTGAGATATCAATTCAGATTAATGACTTGGGGTTTAAATTAAAACATATATTTAATAATTCCATCTAATTAGGTACAGTCAATGAGTCCAACCAGCCAAGATGTCTCAGGATCCTGATTCTATTCAGACTTTTAGAGCTAAAAGGGAATTTATGTATCACCTAGTCTAACATTCTTCACTTTGTAGGTCCTGAGAAGTTGAGTGAGTTGTTCCAGGTCATATGGCTAACTAATATCAAAACAAGGACTATAATCCATATTAACTGAATTCCAGGACAATGTGATTTCCACCATATTAGTTTTAGTTCTCAGATTTGTGGCATTAGAGTATTTGATAAATATGCTTTCTTTGTCTTCACCCATCAGAAATAAAAAACTTGGAACAGGATAAGTTTTGAATATGCCCCATAACATGTGAATAAATCTCTTTAGGATGACGTGAAGCCATTGATCAATACTCTTTAGGTACAGTTCTTCAACAAGTTATCAAGTAACCTAAACTATAGATGATGTTCCTCCCTTTTCTCAACAGGAAGTCATGAAAGGCTTTGCCAAATGGCTTGAAGAAATCCAGATGGAGAAATCGATAGAAGTATACTAATCTACTAACTGGTCCGTAATTCTAACCAAAAAAAAAAAAAAAAAAAAAAAGGAAATGGGGTTAATTTTGGCATGACTTTGTCTTAGTGAACCTAGGCTGGTTCTCAGTGATCAATAAATTTCAGACTCAACAAATTTCCTGCTTTAAAAAAAATCATGGTGTCTACCTATCTCCAGTCTTCTGGGATTCAAAAACTCTCCTCTTATGTAGATTTTATTAAAAAAATATTACTAACAGCAGTTTAACACTTACAACAGCAAGTTCTGCCAATATTGGATAATATATTTTGTCTGGGTTTCAAATCCTGAAATGATTTTTACACAGATAGATCTTCTCACAGTCTTTTCATAAATATTAGGCATATATTCCCTTTTAAAAACAGTATGAAAATCCTTCCTTGATACAGAAGACAAGTAAAATAGAATTCAAATAGTTTTATTTTCTCTATTGTCAATTACTAGCACACCACTTGTTTCAAGCCATGATCCTATCCTATTATTAATCTTCTTGCTCCACACAAAACTCAAAAAGTTCTTCTTAATTATAAAATTAAAATATTTCAAGTCAATTAAACATTCATTCATTCATCCAATGAGCATTTATTAAATTGCTACTGCATACCAAATGCTATGCTAAGTGCTTGTAATACAAAGACAAAAATGAAAGGGCTTACATTCTACTGTGGGGAGGGAGGAGTAGCATTTACATGCATAAGTAAATAAAAATATATTTGGAGTTGAAGAGAGTGGATTAAAATGTCTCACACCTCTGCTAATTCTGTGTAACCTTGGGCAAGTCTATTAATTTCCTTGGAACTCGATTTCCTCCTCTGTAAAACGAAAAGGGTGAACTGAGTGACCCCTATTATCCCTTCTATGGCTAAATCTATGATCCAATGATTTGGTGTCATGTATAAGGGACAGCAATTAAGTTGGTTTGACTGATACATAGAGTATGTGAAGAGGATAATCAAAAGGTAGTCTGGAGCCAGATTATGAAGAGCTTTAAAAGCCGGACTGGAATTTGAATTTGATCCAAGAGGCAAAAAGCAACCAAAGGAGTTTCTCAAGCTGGGTAGATGATGTATTGAAGAGGGAAGAGCCTAGGTACAGAGAGTCCAATTAGAAGTTATTATAATAGGCCAGGAAAGAGATGAAGAGGACCTGAATTAGTGTGTTTCTGGTGTGAATCCTCTTCAGGGACAAATGTGAGAGGTGTTCTGGAGAGAGAATTGACAGGAATTGTCAACTGAGTGGGTATGAGGAGTGAGGGAGAATGAAAGAGTTAATGAGGTGGTGGATCTAAGTGAAAGAAAGAGTAGTGATTCTTTTGACAGAAATAGGAAGGTTGGAAAAGAGATGTGTTTTGTGGGGAAAAAACCCCAAAACTAATGAATTCTGCATTGGACATTTTAAGTTTGCTCCAAATACCTATGCTCCATCGAACTGGAAATGTCTAATCGTTAGTTTGAGATGTATTAGAACTGAAGAATGAGGCTAAGGAGTCATTTTTAGAGTAATGACAATTGAACTTATGTGAGATGAGAGGGAGAGAGAAAATGGAAAGGAGATGGAGAAGAGAGAAGGAGAGGGGAAGAAGGGTCTAGGACAGAGCCTTGGAAGACAACAAGTATGAGATGTCAGGAAAGGAATGATAATTCAGTAAAAGATCATTGGGTTATAGATTTAGAGCTGGAAGGTGCCTCAGAGGTCACTTAATCCAACTCTCTCTCTCTTTTTTTTCCAGATGAGTAAAGTGAAGGGGAAGAGGGTTATGTGACTTGCCCAAAGTTACACAGGTAATAAGTGTCAGAAGTGGGAAGAAGGGGAGAGATACAAGGCAGAAGAAGAGATAGGGGAGGAAGGAAAAGAAAGGTGGGGGGGAAGGGAGATATGCTCAAGGGACAACAAAACCAGTCCTAAAGTTGAAATCAGTGTCCAGATGAAAAGTGGCATGTCAGTAACAAGAAGGGATGAAGACAGAAGGATCAAAGAGCAGGAATTAGCGAGGTCAAGAGCCTTGGGATTTTGTGCTTCACAAGTTGGCCTTTTGAGTCAGAGAGACCAACAGTAGTCACTCCTCCCCACTGAGCTCCAATAGTCAGCTGCTATGACAGGTGTTTATGAAGAGGATGCAGAACTGGCTGAATCAGCATTCACAAAGAGTTCAACAAGGGAATACAATATCTTCACAATTACACAAAACCATCTTAGGGTTATTCTAGTGCTTCGACTGGAAAAACTGAATTATGATTAACAGTAAGCAATTCATGCACTTGCCTTTTGCAGATTTGTATCTTTTTACATGGGCTGCCCTGGAGCTCCAAGAAAAACTTTTACAGCTGCAGAGAGTATTTTAACTGGCTTAGAGATGAAATTCAATAAACAAAGGTGGCTGTGAAGGGACTCTGCCTGCAGGATGTGACATACAGAGAGAGCTTTGAGATCCAGGCAGCCTGGAATCTATATCTATATCTGTATATGTGTGTGCATTATGTATGTATGTATGTATGCATGTATGTATGTCTGCATACATACATGCATACATACATACATATACCTTGGATGTAACAACAAGGATAGAGAATGGGCCAGATAGTTGTCTTTCTCTCCCCCCAGGATTATTAGTTTCATCTTCATCTATTCTATACAAGGTTGATTTAGGTTTAAGTGTGGATAAATCCATCCTTCCATTTAATTTATAAGTTCATAACCTGGGATCCATGAATTTTTTTAAAATATGTTTTGGTCATTGGAATTTCATTTCTATTTGTATTTTAATATGATTAGTTTTCTTTGTAATCCTATGATTTTATTTATATATTTAAACCATTATTCTGAGAATAGTTCTTGGGTTTTACCAGACTGGTAAAGGGGGCCATGATGCAAAAAGGTTAATAACCATTAAATTAGTTCAATTGAGATAACTTTGGAACTTTTCAATTGGATCTTCACAAGGAGACAGGAAAAACTTTTTATTTCAAAAGGTCTTTATTATTTATTCTTTTGTTAAATTAATTTATTTTGAATTATCAACAATCACTTCCATAAGCTTCTGAACTTCAAATTTTTCTCCCCTTCCTTCTCCCCCTCCCTCCCCACAATGGTACGCAATCTGATATAGACTATACATATACATTCCTACTAAACATATTTGCACATTAGGAATGTTGTAAGTAAGAAGTAGAGCCAATAGGAGGAATCTTCAGAAAGAGGATACAAAACACAAGAGAGGAAAAAAAAAATAGCAAATGGTATGCTTTGATCTGCTTTCAAACTCCATAGTTCTTTCTTTGGATGTGGATAGCATTTTCTATCATGAGGCCTTTGGAGATGTCTTAGATCCTTATACTGCTGAGAAGGGTTAAGTCCATCAATATTAGTCATTGCACAATGTGGCTGTTACTGTGTACAATGTTCTGGTTCTGCTCACTTCATTCCACATCACACCATAGAAGTCTTTCCAGGTTTTTCTGAAGTCTTCCTGCTCATCATTTCTTATAGCACAATAGTATTTCATTACATTCATATACCACAACTTGTTCAGCCATTCCCCAATTGATGGACATCCTTTCAATTTCCAATTCTTTGCCACTACAAAAAGAGGTTCTATAAATATTTTTGTACATGTGGGTACTTTTTCCATTTGTATGATTTCTCTGGGATACATCCCTAAAAGTGCTCTTGCTGAGACAGGAAAGACTTAAACAAAATTCAAAAGTATAGAAATAAGTTTACGGAGAACAGGTTGTTGTATATTCTAAAGTAAGTAAAGTCTACATACAGATTGACTTGGCTAGCACAATTTATAGGACACCAAGACCCCCTCCCATTTCTTAACTCAATCTTGTCTTGCTTGTTAAATAAACCAAGCTACTCAGGCTCCTAGTATAAGACAGCTTCAGACAGAGACTATATTTATGTTGTGGGCAGCTAGATGGTGCAATGGATATAATGTAGGTCCGGGAATCAGAAAGATTCATCCTCCCAGAAAGATTCACATTGGCCCTAGACACTTACTAGCTATGTGACCCTGGGCAAGTCACTTAATTCTGTTTGCCTCAGTTTCCTCATCTGTAAAATGATCTGAAGAAGGAAATGGCAAACTCCTCCAGTGTCTTTGCCAAGAAAACCCCAAATGGGGTCACAAAGAGTAGGAAACAACCAAACAATAACAATAATATTTATGTCTTGAAGCATTCTCAGTCATGTCTGAACTCTGCTTTCTAGTCTTAACTCTAGGTAAAGGCTCCTACTTGAAGGTACTTCTACCTTCATCACAAGCATTCATTCTCTTGGCTTCAGAACATCCTCAGTAGACCTTCCAGTTGCCTTTCTTCTCTCTGGACATTCTTAAAGCTCTTTGTTTTATGAAATTCTGCTCAAGCATCCGGTTGCCTAAATGGAAAAAGAGAAAGTCCTTACCAATCTGATCCTAAATAGTCATTCTCTGGGCTTTGGGTCATTGTACACTGACCTTGATGACATATCCTTTGCTCTTCCTTGATGCCTTTAAGACTCCTGTCCTTAGAAGCCCTACCCTTCCCTCTAATTCTTTAATTTCTGTCCTGGACAGTTGCTTTTTTTTTTTAATGAATCACTTTTATTTCTCAATATATCCCTTCCCTCTCCCTGACCCATCAATTTATCCCTTTGAACAAACCTAGATCATTTATTTAAAGCATGGTCGCTTGTTGATTGTTAGTAAAGTTTAGGGTTTTGTTTTTGTTTTTGTTTGCTTATTTGTTTGTTTGCTGACAGTGGGCCTAGTCTAGCCTTTTGGCTTAGCCATAGGGCTAGAAAGATGAAAGGCTTTATCATCTCTAACTTGTCTGCAAAACATCAGTTACCTCTAATAGCTAGCCATCTTTTCCTGTTCCTGAGCATATGACCTCTTTTACATTTCCCATAAATTCCTGTTTTCTCTCTGAAAGAATGCTTCCAACATTTGTACAACAGAGAAAACAGACATACTCTGAACCCGATGATTTATCGTATCTTTTCAGTTCAAGTTGTCAATCCTTTCACTTCTCCTTGACAACTCAATAACGTACACCTCCCCCACCTCTTCCCCATCCCCATACAACTAGCCTATTGAATTTTCCTGTTCTAGAGGTTTACAATATTTTGTCTCAGCCATGTCAATATGGATGGTTCTCATTAATAGTAAGAGAAGTGAAGGCTTATTCTCTTACAGGCAGAGAATTGACAAAGTTGAATTATACCAACAGGAATCTCCAACTTCATTAACTTGATCACTTATCATTCTAGTCCATTGGTAATTTACTTTTTACAATGAGTATCAGCCAAATCAGTCAAACTCTCCTGTCATCTAAATGTAATACAGTCTGTGCTGCAAAATCCATATATAGGTTTTTTTTTTTCATTTTGTTTTCACCTTTCAAGAAAAAAAAGGAACAGCCTGTATCATTGCTGCTAAAATACCTTTTTTGGAGCAAGTAGCACACTGTGACTGAACAAGGAGAGCAGAGCAACACTGGTGTGCTAATTAGAGTTTTACCACAAGTGATTGTCACAGCTATCATTAACCCTAGTCTACCAGGTTGTGGGCAGTGGTCTATTTCAGGGGCATTTTGTGGGATCAGGAAAGGATGATTGGCAACCAGGCTATTTAAGGCATACTGTAGCTTCTGAAGTCTCATTTAAAAATATAATTAATAGGCAGTATTAATAGAAATATTGTATTGGCGGGTTAAATTTATGGAATGAGGTTAAGACATAGAATTGTCTTAGTTGGTCTTGCAGTAAATAGCAAATGACCCACCTTGGTGATATTCAAACTCAGGATACTGATCTGGAGTTCAAAGCTGTCTTACTAAGCCAGGGATTTAACCTATCGATTCTGTAGCTTCCTGGTGATCTTAGAGCCATTTAGCAGTTGAAAGTTAAACTCTAGCTTGCCAAGGCTAAGAGGTCATTTTCACATTGTTTATGTACAGAATGTCCATCAGTATTTCTGATGAAACGTCCATGATAGGTGAAATTATCTTGTGATTTAAAATAATGTTCCCTCTCCCCATTCCCCAGTGATGGCTCATTTTAACTTCTGTTAAGAGATGCTTAGGAAGAAATGTTAAGTGCAATAGCCAGAAAGAAAAATTAGATTGATGTTATCTTTCTCTTGTTTCTCTTGTTACATGGATCAGAGTAGGTTATAATGTTGATTTTAGCCAGATTTATAGGGTAAAAATTTAAGGGCAAGGAAGACCCTCAGTGAAACTTACGTAGTACTTCACATACCTCAAAGGAACACTCTGCACACATAAATGTGCCGTGACTAACCATTCTGTATCTCTCCTCACTCTAGTATTTTATATCTTCCTCCATCTCTTGCTTTTCTTCCTTTCTTCTCTTGCCTCCCCCCTTAATCTCAGTTTTTATTTGTAGGTTAGAAATATGTGCCATTGCATAGCCTATTCCCCATGCTAGAACCTACTTATCTCCTTTCAAAGCTCAGATCAAATGGTACTTCCTATATAAAGCTATTTCTCATCTCTCTACTTGTTAGTTACTCCTTCCCCCTCCCACAATCATTTCCTATTTATCTAATCCACGACTCAAAGGTCCATTTACATTAAACTGTGCTTACTGGTTGAGATTGTTTATTCAGTGTTCCACATTTGCACAATGGGTAGGGTTGGTGAGAAGTAGAGAGAAGAAACATCTTGGGTTTCTGACTTCCAGCTTTGAGAAAGAAGGAGCATGGTTCCAAACTCTCTTCAGTTGCCTGAAAAGAAAGACTCTTGAAAATAAGCTGATGTAGAGAGAGCTGCCACTGTCTATCCTGCCCCTGTTCCCATCTTGCAACACTGGAATTGTCAGGGAATTTTCCCTTGTATAAGAACTGGGACTTTCTCATGGTTGAATTATCTCACGCCCAAAGGGAGAGCTCTTTCACTCTATGTGTTGTCTGGTCTGTAGTTGCATATGTATATTTCTCTGATATCTGTTTTCTCTCTGTTTGGATATATGAACATATTTGCCAGTTGCTATGTGTTTTTATTGTGGAACTTGCATTTGGTGAGAGGGAGTCAAGCTTTGGGTAAATATCTTGGGGCATTCCTTTTTTGTTAAGGAATAGTGATCAGGAGCTCAGCTTGAACCTATACATTATTTCTCCTAGACTTACAATATTTAAGAGAATAGATCCATATACACAGTTGGTAGTCTGGTGCCCTCTCTCTCTGAGGAGAGCAGAATGGGTAGCTTCTGACCCAAACCTCCTTCTTCTCCCCCTGGAAGGAATCAAAATGTCCCTTGGAGAAGTTGGGGAAGGGGAAAGAGACTCTAGAGTTATCTATTCTTCCCTCCCAGGAAGCCATTTTGAAGTAGACTCATGTGTACACACATACCTTACGTGGATAAAACAAAACAGCACATACACATACCCTACATTTCCTTTTTAAATGCTTATATGTGTATATGTTATTTTTTCCATTACATTGTGAACTCCTTGTGGTCAGGGACTGTTTAATTTTTGATTACTACTTCTGCTTTTTTATTTCCTAATAAATTCTATTCCTGATCTTTATTTTATGTTTGTGTATATCTCTCATTTCCTTTCCCTCCTGACTCCTATACTTTACTTCTATGCCCTACCTTGCCCTCCTATTACCTAACCCCCCCAAATGTCCCTCCCTTATCCTCCCCCACTACCCTTTCCCCTTACCCTCTTGTTTTTATTTGAATTTAGAAGACTTTTATAGCCTTCCAAATATATGTTATTCCCTCTTTATCCCATTCCCATTAATCTAGACACCCTTCTATACCCATCTTATTCTATTCCTTCACCCTCTTCTTTCTTTGTAAATTTAGAAGACTTTTATTTCCTTTTAAGTGTATATATTGTTCTTTCTTTAACCCAGATCTGTAGGGTTCCCTCTAAAAATCCATCTCTTATCCTCTCCCCACTCCCAATCCCCTTTGCTTTCTTTCTTTCTGAATTTTATATGTATTGTTCCCTCTTTAACCCATTCTTGATGAGAGCAGAGTTCCAGAACTACCAACCCTCCTCCTTCATCTAATTCCTCTGTATCAATTCTTCCTCTCATACCTCATTTGCATATGATTTTTTTTACCTTTTCTTAGACAGTATTACTTTTTAGAATCATATCATACTGAGCTCTACTCCAATCTTTCTTTTAAACTACCCAATTAGTACTTACAATCTTGGACACACAGTTTACATTTCCTTGTATAAAAAGTAAACAGTCTGTCCTATTGAGTCCCTTGTAATTAGTCTTTGACGTTGACCTTATATTTCTGTTGGGTTTTGTATATCACATTTTCTATTAAGTTCAGGTTGTTTTGCAACAAAATCCTGAAAGTCTGGCAATTTATTGAATATCCATTTTTTTTTAATTTGGGAGAGAGTGAGAGAGAGAGAGAGAAAGAGAGGAAGAGAGGACAAATAAAAGAAATTAAGACAGAGAGAAGTGTACAGTTAGTAATCATAACTGTGAATGTGAATGGAATGAATTCACCCACAAAATGGAAGCAGATAGCAGAACGGATTAGATACCAAAAATCAACATGTTGTTTACAACATTTTACATATAATTAGGGGCTTGGACTAGATGTTCTCTAAATATGTTCTCTAAATGTTTACAACATTTACTCAATTTTTCTACTCTGGCATTTGTGTTTTTTTTCCTAATTCCACATTAACAGTTCTGATTTCAGATCTAAATTTCAGATCTGATTTCAGACAGACACACAGAATTAAAATGAACGGCTGGAGCAGAATCTGTTGTTTTTCAGCTGAAGTAAAAAAAAAAAAGTATGATACTGATTCTGTCTAAGTGTTAAGGCAAATGATTCATGTTTCCTGATGCCAATTTTCTAATCCCTTTGAGGCCCAAGAACTGTAGTCTTTATTAAAAGTAGTCTTTGTTTAACTGTAGTCTTTATTTAAAAAAAATCTATATTTCATATGCCATTATTTCATGGGATTGCACGATTTAGAACAAAAACGAACTTTAGAGAACATCTAGTCCAAGCCCCTAATTATATGGATAAGGGTAATGTGAGTAAAAATATTAAATAAACTGACAAAGATCATACATTTATTTATATGGGTAGCCAATCTTGGATTAGATCTGAGTCTCATGATTCCTAGTTCAATGATCTTTCTAAGAAAGTGCCTTTATCTCAACTAATATTACTATAACTCTTTGTCTGAATTATAAATATAAGAATGGACTTGGAGGAGTGGGGGTGCTATTATTTGCTCATTATTTGCACTCCAACAGAAAGATGAAAGCTTTTATGACCATAAATTTTATTTCCACTCTTCTCGCTCTCTACTTTGGTAATAGTATTGCCTGTTAGATATCAAACTAGATCAAATTTGAAACCAGACTTCAATCAATCTATTTTTAAAGAGTAAACGGACAATTTTTAAAATTAAGCTCCTACTATACTGTAGGTATCATTTCAGATGTCTCATGAGATAAAATGTAGCAAAATAAAAAGAAGTGAGGTCTTAGTGTTAGAAAGACCTAAGGTCGAGTTATATATCTGGTACTTACGGGTTACATTACCTTTGTAATATCTAATCTTTCAGCCCCTAGCAACTCTTTAAGAAGACTTGCTGATCTGCATCAGTGAAGGAAGTATAGACAGCAGGAGTGCCTCACATGGGTAAAATCATAGGTCCCTACCAAAATAATACTTCATTAATTTCCCTTCTTTTCTGCCATATTTTCCTTCAGTTCTCAATTTTTGTGTTCCAAATCTGTTATAGCCTCTCTCCTGGGTTCTACTTATTTGAAGTGAGTTGCAATTATTTACTCAATTTTTCTACTCTGGCATTTGTGTTTTTTTTCCTAATTCCACATTAACAGTTCTGATTTCAGATCTAAAATTATTCCTAATTTCTTCTTTTATAAGTAGTATTTCTATTTTGTACCATTATTGAATTTCTTGTTGCATGATCTTTAGACTGTACATAGGATTCACTCTTTCATCCAATAATACTGGTTCATTTTCTATCATACCTCAATATTTAGTCAATGTTTTTTGTTTTCTTTTTGATGTTTTACTCCATTTTCCCTGTCCTTATCATTCTCTATGGTTGTTTATCTGTTAATGAATTTAGGCTTCCTTGCTTGAATTTTTGATATTTTGGTGAGTAGCACTTGGGTCAGCGTAATGCAACTGTTCCTAATAGCCAAAGAAATAGAGAGGGTTGCATAGGGTTATAGGGTGCTCCTACCCAGTGGCACAGGGGATAGAGCACTGGGCCTGGAGTCAGGAAGACTCATTTTCCTGACTTCAAATCTAGTCTCAAACACTTAGTAGGTCCGTGACTGTGGGCAAGTCATTTAACCCTGTTTGCCTCAGTTCCTCATCTGTAAAGTGAGCTTGAGAAGGAAATGTCAAACTATTCCAGCATGTCTGCCAAAAGAACCTCAAATGGGGTCACAAAAATTCAGACACAACTAAAAGATGACTTAACAACAACAACTCATCCTGACAAGGAAGAAGACTGTGGAGTAACAGCCACTCCTTCATTATCTAATACCATAAGAAGATAAAATACAGTGCAATAAACCAGAAATTCAAATAATAAACCTATTGTAAATGTTTAAGTACAGATGATGATGACCACTAATATGTGTAAATCATGAAATGGTCATGAAATGGACATTAAAAAGTTAAATAAAGTATAAAAACAAAGCACATTAGAAAAACTGATGAAATTGATGAAAATTTTTTTCAAAGAAAAAATAATGGATCTTCCAGTTATAGGAAGAAAGGAAACAGACATTTAATAAGCACCTACTATGTACCAACAACTTTACAAATATCTCAGTTGATTCTCTTAACAACTTTAAGAGGTATTTGCTTTTATTATCTCTATTTTAGAGTTGAGGAAATTGAGGCACAGAGGGGTTAAGTGACTTTCTTAGGGTCACATAGGCAGTAAATCTCTGAGGCCAGATTTGAATTCAGGTCTTCCTAAGTCCAAGGCAGCTAGGTGGCACAGTTGACAAAGTGCTGGGCCTGAAATCAGGAGGACCCATCTTCCTGAGTTCAAATCTGGTCTCTTACAATCAAGAATCACCTACCCAGTAAAACTGAATATAATCTTTCAGTGGGAAAATAGACAAAACAATATAAAGGAATTTCAAGCATTTCTAATTAAAATACCAGAGCTGAATAAAAAATCTGAACTCCAAATACAAGCCTCATGGGAAACATAAAATGTTTTTTTAAAAAAGAAACAAAAAGAGAAAACGTAAGAAATCCAATAAGGTTAAACTTTATATTTCCATAGGACAAGATAATATTTGTAACTCTTAACAACTTTATTACTATAAAAGCAATTAGAAGGAATATAATTAGGCAGAGAGTGTGGATATAAGGTGATTTTGATGGGATGATACCCCAAAAATTATTTTATAGAGGTAGAAAAAATAAGAACAAAATTCATCTGGAAGAACAAAAGCTCAAGGATATCAAGGGAATCAATGAAAAAAATGCAAAAGAAGGTGGTCTAGCTATACTGTTGAGGTTTAGAGGTGCTGGGATCCCAAAATCATGACACACAGGTCCTGCCTGGATGAATTTGACCCAAGCCTTCTTTCAGCCAAAGACAAGGTTTATTAGAACATCAATCTGGGGTGGGTGAGATTCAAAGAATCTGCCATATTGGCCAGACTATTAAGACATCTAAGCATTTGTACTGCTAATGCAGGTAGGCCAGATCTTAAGAATCTGAGC